CATTAAAAATAGTTAAACCACACTGACTACTATTGTATTCGGAGAAGTTAAAATTTGAATAAAGGCGATTTTTATTTGGAAATTACACAAACTCTGGTTAAACCTACTAGTGAAATGTGTTATTAGTTTTTAGAAGTTTGTTTGACATACTTAGAGAAAATTGTTTTTATTTTTATGAAAAAAAAAATCGCTAAAATTCCAGAGCTTTTTGTATGAAAACACTAAATGTGACCAAGATATATTAAGACAGACAGACGGACGGATAGATGGACAAATTAAGGCCAACAAATTTAAATTGAATTTTTTTAGTACAAAATCGGCTTTTCTTAGTGAATAATTAACTTTTAGTAAAAATTTTAATATTTAGTGAAAAAATATGAATTTTTTTTTTTTTTGTAATTAAATTTGTTGGCCTTAATATGGAATACCCCTAATATATGAAATATTTAACGCAGCAGTAGATATTTGCCACATTAGTAAAAGTTGTAAAACTCTTTAGTTTTTAATTGATTTTTGTACGTTTGGTTTGTGTTTTCTCTTAACTATAATTTTTGTTGTTGTTCTAAAGGTTTTGAATTTAAAACTTCTTACGTATTGTTGTTGCTCTTATATATACATATATATGTATATCTGAACAGACTTTCAAACATGTGTTAAAATAAGTTACAATTGTCAATAGAGAGAAAGAAAGAGAGAGAGTGTGTGAGAGTGGGTGTTGTTGTATACTTGTGTGGGTAATTAAGTTTTAAGGATACTTAACTATAATTATGATTATGATTACGTATACATACATACATACAGTCATACTATATTTATATACATTTACTTACTACATTAAACACACTCACTTGTACATACACATACATACATATGAATATCTAATATAAAATATATTTACTACCCAATGGTGTTACAAGGAGTCAATGTATCCTTTTTAGACAGTACATATGTACGTACAAGTCCCAAATGACTAACAACTTGGTTGTCTCGAACATATACATATATTGTAGTTTAATATGTATGTACTGTTTGTAATAAATTTAGAGTTCTCATGTAATCTAGCACAACGTCAATTGCCACTCTATTGTCCCCAAGTAAACTGCAACAATGTCTCTTAATATGATCATCTTAAACTACAGGGTAATTCATTTAAGTGTATTATACATTAAAGCTAAAAGTAGGTAAATTTTAATTCTTCTCCACACAAACGACATACATACATATTTAAATGTTCTAATTTTCATAATGGTCTACATAAATTTAATAAACTTTTCTCAATTCTAGTGTTTGTATACGAAGTACAGAGTAGTATTTTATTATCCTTAGAACTGTGTATGACCACATTTAGGCACATGTTTATGAAATATAAATTAATTCTATAGAAGAAAATTAATATTTAAGTTATGTATAATTTTAATTATTACTTTATTTCTAGAAGATTTTAATTTTGTGGGAATTTTTTATTTTATTAATATCTGGAATATAAACATTTTGCTTAAAGAATTTTCTTAATAAATAAAAGAAATTGTTTAGTTTTAGGGAATTTAATTGAATTAGAAAATAGAAAGAAAAAATTTTAAGTCTTCAGAAATGTGTTACAATTATGAGGGAGAGTAAAACTCTATGGCGTTGGTCAGATTGGTATATTTAAAATTAATTACTCAGGGAATATCTTAAAAGAAATATCAGCCTTTTATTACTTAAAGTTTCGACGTAAACTGTTTTTTAGAATTCAGAGAATTTTTAAGAAAATTTTCTATAGAAAAGAGAATTTTTCAGAAAATTTTCTATAGAAAAGAGATATTTTCAGAAAATTGTCTATAAAAAAGAGAATTTTTCAGAAAATTTTCTATAGAAAGGGAATTTTTTGAAATTTTATATAAAAAGATAATTTTTTGAAAAATTTCTACAAAAAGATAATTTTTCGAAAATTTTCTATAAAAATATAATTTTTTGAAAATTTTCTATAAAAAGATAATTTTTTGAAAATTTTCTATAAAAAGAGATTTTTTTGAAAAATGTCTATAAAAAGAGAATTTTTCGAAAAATTTCTATAAAAAGAGAATTTTTCGAAAAATTTCTATAAAAAGAGAATTTTTCGAAAATTTTCTATGAAAACAGAATTTTTCGAAAAATGTCTATAAAAAGAGAATTTTTCGAAAAATGTCTATAAAAAGAGAATTTTTCGAAAATTTTCTACAAAAAAAGAGAATTTTTCGAAAATTTTCTACAAAAAAAGAGAATTTTTCAGAAAATTTTCTATAAAAAGAGAATTTTTCAGAAAATTTTCTATAAAAAGAGAATTTTTCAGAAAATTTTCTATAAAAAGAGAATTTTTCAGAAAATTTTCTATAAAAAGAGAATTTTTCAGAAAATTTTCTGTAAAAAAGAGAATTTTTCAGAAAATTTTCTATAAAAAAGAGAATTTTTCAGATAATTTTCTATAAAAAGAGAATTTTTCAGAAAATTTTCTATAAAAAGAGAATTTTTCAGAAAAATGTCTATAAAAAGAGAATTTTTCGAAAAATGTCTATAAAAAGAGAATTTTTCGAAAAATGTCTATAAAAAGAGAATTTTTCGAAAATTTTCTACAAAAAAAGAGAATTTTTTAGAAAATTTTCTATAAAAAGAGAATTTTTCAGAAAATTTTCTATAAAAAGAGAATTTTTCAGAAAATTTTCTATAAAAAGAGAATTTTTCAGAAAATTTTCTATAAAAAGAGAATTTTTCAAAAAATTTTCTGTAAAAAAGAGAATTTTTCAAAAAATTTTCTGTAAAAAAGAGAATTTTTCAAAAAATTTTCTGTAAAAAAGAGAATTTTTCAGAAAATTTTCTATAAAAAAGAGAATTTTTCAGAAAATTTTCTATAAAAAGAGAATTTTTCAGAAAATTTTCTATAAAAAGAGAATTTTTCGAAAATTTTCTATAAAAAAAGAATTTTTCGAAAATTTTCTATAAAAAAGAGAATTTTTCAGAAAATTTTCTATAAAAAAGAGAATTTTTCAGAAAATTTTCTATAAAAAAGAGAATTTTTCAGAAAATTTTCTATAAAAAAGAGAATTTTTCGAAAAATATCTATAAAAAGAGAATTTTTTTTAAAATTTTCTATAAAAAGGAAATTTTTCGAAAATTTTTTATAAAAAGGAAATTTTTCGAAAATTTTTTATAAAAAGAGAATTTTTCAGAAAATTTTCTATAAAAAAGAGAATTTTTCAGAAAATTTTCTATAAAAAAGAGAGTTTTTCAGAAAATTTTCTATAAAAAAGAGAATTTTTCAGAAAATTTTCTATAAAAAAGAGAATTTTTCAGAAAATTTTCTATATTAAAGAGAGTTTTTCAGAAAATTTTCTATAAAAAAGAGAATTTTTCAGAAAATTTTCTATAAAAAAGAGAATTTTTCAGAAAATTTTCTATAAAAAAGAGAATTTTTCAGAAAATTTTCTATAAAAAAGAGAATTTTTCAGAAAATTTTCTATAAAAAAGAGAATTTTTAAGAAAATTTTCTATAAAAAAGAGAATTTTTAAGAAAATTTTCTATAAAAAAGAGAATTTTTAAGAAAATTTTTTATAAAAAGAGAAATTTTCGAAAATTTTCTATGAAAAGAGAATTTTTCGAAAATTTTCTATGAAAAGAGAATTTTTCGAAAATTTTCTATGAAAAGAGAATTTTTCGAAAATTTTCTATGAAAAGAGAATTTTTCGAAAATTTTCTATGAAAAGAGAATTTTTCGAAAATTTTCTATGAAAAGAGAATTTTTCGAAAATTTTCTATGAAAAGAGAATTTTTCGAAAATTTTCTATGAAAAGAGAATTTTTCGAAAATTTTCTATGAAAAGAGAATTTTTCGAAAATTTTCTATGAAAAGAGAATTTTTCGAAAAATTTTTATGAAAAGAGAATTTTTCGAAAATTTTCTATGAAAAGAGAATTTTTCGAAAATTTTCTATGAAAAGAGAATTTTTCAAAAATTTCTATAAAAAGAGAATTTTTCGAAAATTTTCTATAAAAAGAGAATTTTTCGAAAATTTTCTATAAAAAGAGAATTTTTCGAAAATTTTCTATAAAAAGATAATTTTTCAGAAAATTTTCTATAAAAAGATAATTTTTCAGAAAATTTTCTATAAAAAGATAATTTTTTAGAAAATTTTCTATAAAAAGATAATTTTTCAGAAAATTTTCTATAAAAAGATAATTTTTCAGAAAATTTTCTATAAAAAGATAATTTTTCAAAAATTTTCTATAAAAAGAGAATTTTTCAAAAATTTTCTATAAAAAGAGAATTTTTCAAAAATTTTTTATAAAAAGAGAATTTTTCAAAAATTTTCTATAAAAAGAGAATTTTTCGAAAATTTTCTATAAAAAGAAAATTTTTCGAAAATTTTCTATAAATTTGGAATTTGGAAAAAATTTTCTTCGTAAAGAAAAATTTATAAAAACTTTGTTTATAAGGAGACACTTTTGAATATTTTCTAGAAAAGAAAAAATGTTCGGAAAATTTTCTATAAATTTTCAAATATTTTCTATTAAGATATAAATTTTCAAACATTTTCCTTAAAAGAGAAAATTTTGGAAATTTCTTGAGAAATTGAGCCATCATAACTCTTAATAACTACTATTCATAAACTTTTTCCACAACCATTCTAATTTAAGAATTTAAAAGTTTTTCCCCCTCCCTCTGACAAATATACTTCCTTAATATTTTCTCTCTAATTGATGTTGTGTAATGTATGTAGTTGCCGTAAACGACAACTATAATTGATACAAGTTAAATTCTTGTACAACTATGAATCAACAAATGTATCTGAGATACAATCTTATCATAGGTAATGGACATGTATTCTCATATACGACACACACGATTCTGTAGAATGTAATGTGTAACACACGCACGCATTTCGACAATAGTTTATTTATTTGTAAGTGTGTGTTTCCTCATCCTTACACATTTACAGAGGCATATGTGTGTGAGTGTGTCTGTAAATGTTTTTAATACGTGCTTACCTGTTGCAGCTGCTAATGATAAATACGTGTTCAAAATAGCACGCTCTTGGCCAGTACCATTGGCTAATACGGAATTAAAACTGGGCCAATAGATCCATAAGAATAATGTGCCAATCATAGCCAATATATCAGAGACATAATTTGCACCTTCATATTTGCCAGGCTCATTTTGATCTTTGCTGGGACGTAACATAAGACTTACAGCCAAACCGAAGTAAGCACCAAATGCGTGTACAGTAATGGAGCCACCAACATCACAGATCTGAGGAAAAAAGGAAGTAAATTTTTTAAACATACTTTTATTACATATTTTTCGGAAATTCTAAAACTTACGCTGAAAATATGCAAAGCTACATATTCATTGGCAGCGAATAGAGCCACTTCAAACAATGCCATGAACAATAATTGTATGGGTGTAGTGCGACCCAATAGAGCGCCCATACTAATTAAAGGTACAGCTGCAGCAATATCAGCATCAATTATGTTTTCCAAGGAAAGACTACAAGAAACAAAAGCAAAGACAAAACCAATATTAAGGCATGCAACACAACTCTAAAAGGGTTTTAACAATTAGTAGTTTAAAAGGTAATTACGGTTTTAAAGTAGATTTATTAATAAGACTAGTTAAGAAATTTTCATTTCAGGGAAAAATTTAAATTCTATTCTACTCAATTTTTTTAATAAAGTTATTTCTCTTGTTGTTGCTACTTTTTTCATTTTTCTTATTTTCTTTCCACTTAAACTCCATTCAATCATGAAAATATACAAGGTAGTTTACTTGAAGCCTTTTGTATTCCTTTTCCATAGCAAACTTTAACCAGAATATGAAAGGAGTTTTATTTTAAAACGAAAATTTCCGCAAATTTTCTTCAATTCCAATAAAATTCTCAGTTCAGTTCTAGTTCAGTTCTAGTTCAGTTCTAGTTCAGTTCTAGTTCAGTTCTAGTTCAGTTCTAGTTCAGTTCTAGTTCAGTTCTAGTTCAGTTCTAGTTCAGTTCTAGTTCAGTTCTAGTTCAGTTCTAGTTCAGTTCTAGTTCAGTTCTAGTTCAGTTCTAGTTCAGTTCTAGTTCAGTTCTAGTTCAGTTCTAGTTCAGTTCTAGTTCAGTTCTAGTTCAGTTCTAGTTCAGTCTAGTTCAGTTCTAGTTCAGTTCTAGTTCAGTTCTAGTTCAGTTCTAGTTCAGTTTCTAGGTTCAGTTCTAGTTCAGTTCTAGTTCAGTTCTAGTTCAGTTCTAGTTCAGTTCTAGTTTCAGTTCTAGTTCAGTTCTAGTTCAGTTCTAGTTCAGTTCTAGTTCAGTTCTAGTTCAGTTCTAGTTCAGTTCTAGTTCAGTTCTAGTTCAGTTCTAGTTCAGTTCTAGTTCAGTTCTAGTTCAGTTCTAGTTCAGTTCTAGTTCAGTTCTAGTTCAGTTCTAGTTCAGTTCTAGTTCAGTTCTAGTTCAGTTCTAGTTCAGTTCTAGTTCAGTTCTAGTTCAGTTCTAGTTCAGTTCTAGTTCAGTTCTAGTTCAGTTCTAGTTCAGTTCTAGTTCAGTTCTAGTTCAGTTCTAGTTCAGTTCTAGTTCAGTTCTAGTTCAGTTCTAGTTCAGTTCTAGTTCAGTTCTAGTTCAGTTCTAGTAGTTCTAGTTCAGTTCTAGTTCTAGTTCTAGTTCTAGTTCTAGTTCAGTTCTAGTTCAGTTCTAGTTCAGTTCTAGTTCAGTTCTAGTTCAGTTCTAGTTCAGTTCTAGTTCAGTTCTAGTTCAGTTTTAGTTCAGTTCTAGTTCAGTTCTAGTTCAGTTCTAGTTCAGTTCTATTCAGTTCTAGTTCAGTTCTAGTTTAGTTCTAAAATTGTAGTTGTATGTGCAACTTTTAATTCTATTACATCTCTGTTTTAATTTTTATTTTTGTTTTTTGTCTGCGTGTATAACTTCTAGATCTCAATGTTTTGTTTCGAAGAATTTCTTGCAATTTGTAGTCATCACAATCCTCATTATTTCAACTACAGCAGTTTGTCTTAAAAATGGGGAAGGTACACCAGCTAGCATAGAAAGCATACAGGATGCTCAATAATTTAAAGTGACAAAAGCGAAGTTTGTTTTTCAGAACCTTATAGAACAAATAGTTGAAAAATTATCTTTACAATTCCATGAACTGTAGAGCTATAACAACTATATAAGACTTGATTGTAAAAGAAGCTGATAATAAAAAAAGACTCATATAAGTGCTTCGGAAATATTTATATTATAACAATTATGGAAACCGACCAAAGGACCTCTCATTGTAAACTACTGAATTCACATTCATCCGATTTCTATATTCCCACTCTATGATAATTTCGCTTAAATAAAATGTCTTGTTGTTTCTTGTTGGTGTTGCATTGTCTAAATGAGTTTTTGATATTTTCTTCTATTGTTAACTTCTTAATGCCATGCACACGTTGCATAAACACATTCACATCCTTAAGCAAACGCATATGTATAACCTCATGGATTATCAGACAATCCTTGTAGACAGACGGACGGTTGAACACACACATATACACTAGACTAAATTGAAAGAAGTTGATTAGAATTCTTAATGTTGGTGTTTCTCTTACATTTTTTTTGCTTTTGTTTTTCATGGTTTAAAGCTGAAAGGAAAGCTTAAGTTTATATGTTTAAAGGTATTAGTTTTATTTATTGTTGTTGCTGTTGATATTGTGTTGCAACACACAAATATTTGTTGCAAATTATTACAAGTATGAGAGTAAATAGTGTCTTTAAGTGGAAAAGGTAGAAAGAAAATGAGGGTTTGTTTTGTAATTACTTTCGCTAATTAATGGCTAATTTATTAGGAGGTTACCAAGGCTTCAGGATAGAGGAATTGAATGTAGTGGAGAATAGGGTAAATATACTGTTCATTAGACACATATATATTATTAAATAGTAAGAGGTAAGTTTAAAGTTGTAAAATATTATAATTATATTACAAAATTTCCTGTACAAATGAAATATGTTTTCGCTCAAATAGCTGACAGTAGGAATTTGAGAAAATTTTATATAATTAAGAGAACAATTTTAAAAACTTCTTTAGAAAGAGAGAATTTTTTAAAATTTTTTTATCAATTTATAGAATTTTTTTTCAAAATTTTGTAAAAATTAAAATTTTTATAAAAATATAAATTTTGGAAAATTTTCTATCAAATGTAATACAATTTTTATAACATAACAATTTTCTATAAAAATAAAGAATAATTGTTCTACAAAAAGAAACATTTTCTTTAAAAAGAGAAATATTCGAAAATTTTTACAAGAGAAATTTTCTGAAAATTTTTGTATAAAAATTTTCTATAAAAAGAGAATTCTTTAGAACATTTTCTATAAAAGAGATTTTTTCGAATAATTTTCTATAAAGAGAGAATTCTTCTAAAAATTTTCTACTAAAAGAGAATTCTTCTAAAAATTTTATACTAAAAGAGAATTCTTCCGAAAATTTTCTATAAAAAGAGAAATTTTCAAAAATTTTCCATTAAAAGAGAAATTTTCAAAAATTTTCTATAAAAAGAGAAATTTTCAAAAATTTTCTATAAAAAAAGAGAAATTTTCAAAAATTTTCTATAAAAAAAGAAAAATTTTCAAAAAATTTTTATAAAAAAAGAGAAATTTTCAAAAATTTTCTATAAAAAAAGAGAAATTTTCAAACATTTTCTATAAAAAAAGAGAAATTTTCAAAAATTTTCTATAAAAAAAGAGAAATTTTCAAAAATTTTTTATAAAAAGTGACATTTTCAAAAATTTTCTATAAAAGAAGACATTTTTAAAAATTTTCTATAAAAAGAGAAATTTTCAAAAATTTTCTATGAAGAGAGAAACTTTCAAAAATTTTCTATAAAAAGAGAAATTTGCAAAAATTTTCTATAAAAGAAGACATTTTTAAAAATTTTCTATAAAAAGAGAAATTTTCAAAAATTTTTTATAAAAAGTGACATTTTCAAAAATTTTCTATAAAAGAAGACATTTTTAAAAATTTTCGATAAAAAGAGAAACTTTCAAAAATTTTCTATAAAAAGAGAAATTTGCAAAAATTTTCTATAAAAGAGAAATTCTCAAAAATTTTCTTTAAAAAGAAAAATTTTCAAAAATTTTCTTTAAAAAGAGAAATTTTCAAAAATTTTCTTTAAAAAGAGAAATTTTCACAAATTTTCTATAAAAAGAGAAATTTTCACAAATTTTCTATAAAAAGAGAAATTTTCTATAAAAAGAGAAATTTTCAAAAATTTTCCATAAAAAGAGAAATTTTTAAAAATTTTCCATAAAAAGAGAAATTTTCAATAATTTTCTATAAAAAGAGAAATTTTCAATAATTTTCTATAAAAAGAGAAATTTTCAATAATTTTCTATAAAAAGAGAAATTTTCAATAATTTTCTATAAAAAGAGAAATTTTCAATAATTTTCTATAAAAAGAGAAATTTTCAATAATTTTCTATAAAAAGAGAAATTTTCAATAATTTTCTATAAAAAGAGAAATTTTCAAAATTTTTCTATAAAAAGAGAAATTTTCAATAATTTTCTATAAAAAGAGAAATTTTAAAAAATTGTCTATAAAAAGAGAAATTTTAAAAAATTGTCTATAAAAAGAGAAATTTTCAAAAATTTTCTATAAAAAGAGAAATTTTCAAAATTTTCTATAAAAGAGAAATTTTCAAAAATTTTCTATAAAAAGAGAAATTTTCAAAAATTTTCTATAAAAAGAGAAATTTTCAAAATTTTTCTTTAAAAAGAGAAATTTTAAAAAATTTTCTATAAAAAGAGAAATTTTCAAAATTTTTTATAGAATTAGAAATGTTCAAAAATTTTCTATAAAAATATAAATTTTCAAAAAATTTTCTATAAGAAGAGAAAATTTCTCCAAATTTTCTTCAAAAAGAGAAATTTTTGCAAATTTTCTACAAAAAAGGAGACATTTCAGAAAATTCTCTTTAAAAGAAGAGATTTTCGCTGATATAGAAAAAGTATCAATTTTCGATTTTTTTTAAGAGAGAAGTTTAGAAAATGTTTCTATGAGGAAAGAGAAATTTTTTATAAAAGTTTTTATTTTAGAAAATTTTCTATAAAATAAAATTATGGAAGAATTATGGGAATATTGGACAAATTTCTAACATTTTACATATAATTGTTTATAAATACTTACTGTATTACACCATCTTCCATTTCGAAAAAGCCTTTAATCAAAACCGACCATTGTACCACCAATGAGGCCAAAAATAATGAATAACCTGTAGCACTATAACCGTATTTGCGTAAAAATGTCATCAAAAAACCAAAACCAACAAATATCATTACTTGGATATCTTGGAAATCTGTAAATAAAAAGGAAATGCAAACAAATTAAAAACGTTTTTATTGTAAAACAAAACTACTTAAACATTTTAAATGAATAAAATAATTTACTTAAGTAAACAGCATATTTTTATCAGATCAACCGTTAAACCCTCCCCCGTTCTTTAAACAACTATTAAATAAACAAACGTTTTAATGTGATCTTGATCTCTCTATTCTTTCAACAACGCAGCGCAACCGTTAAGATCACACTTTTGAGATAAAACTCAACTCGAGGAAACACTTATCAGTTTTATGGTATCGAAATATGTTTGGCCTCATATATTTTACACATGACTTAACCGGCTTAATTATGTAAAATTTAGTTCAGTTTTATGGTTAGGGGACTATTGTACATGCAATCGCATCAGCTTAGATAAGTCAGTGTATAAGCGTGATCGTTTACGATTTGTGTGACAATGTCAATATATATTTATATTGTTTACTCTAATTGTTTTTTTTGTATTCTGTTTAATCATGTGTAAAATGTTAAAAACACTTTTATTTTTCATTTACTGCATTTTATTTGTGTTTGTTTTATTTTAATAAAATTTAGGGTTTTGAAATTCCATCATAGAGATTTTAATGTGTTGCTTGTAAATAAGCTATCAGTTTTGACATTTATTAAATCCAACTGTCAAAGTTTGTCTGTCAATCAATGTTTTGTAAAACACAGCGGCATTACTTTTGTTTTACTGTTTATAAAGAAACAAATTTTAATGTCAGTAATAAATTTGATAGATTTAAAAATAGGTAATAATTAGATGGCAAATTTATAAATAAATTATATAAAGAAAAAAATGAAAAAAAAAAAATTAATCAGATACTTTGACAAGTAGTAGTTTCCATATTATTCTAAATAAAGATTAAAATGGCATTTATATAAACCAAGTAAATGTTAAATTTTATTATCAAATTTACTTACATAAGTAAGCATAGCAAATTATCTTTCTTTAAATTATAAACCGATAATTTGGTGATTTTAATCTGTTAAAAAAAAAAAAAAATAAATCTCTTTAAATTATTGCAACGCGATTTTACTGAAATCATTTCGACCAAGTGTGTACGTGCTGTGCACTCCTGTTTGCAAGTGCAACATACGGCTAAACGTATTTTAAAGTCATTAAATGGATTTTCTCCTTTTGAACATTAATTCTCATTTCGAACATGTTAATAATTATTCGACAATATAAATTTATTTGTATAAAATTAATGGATAAATAAATTACACTTTCAAATTGGGCTTGAATGGATATACTACAACAACAAACGCAGCTGACTTGCATGCACCTGCAGTTTCAGAGGATGTCAACGTATCCTTGTATGACTCGTATTTTTGCAGTACTGTGGAACTGAACTACTATAACTAAACTAGAACTGAACTAGAACTGAATTAGAACTGAACTAGAACTGAACTAGAACTGATCTAGAACTGAACTAGAACTGAACTAGAACTGAACTAGAACTGAACTAGAACTGAACTAGAATTGAACTAGAACTGAACTAGAACTGAACTAGAACTGAACTAGAACTGAACTAGAACTGAACTAGAACTGAACTAGAACTGAACTAGAACTGAACTAGAACTGAACTAGAACTGAACTAGAACTGAACTAGAACTGAACTAGAACTGAACTAGAACTAAACTAGAACTGAACTAGAACTGAACTAGAACTGAACTAGAACTGAACTAGAACTGAACTAGAACTGAACTAGAACTGAACTAGAACTGAACTAGAACTGAACTAGAACTGAACTAGAACTGAACTAGAACTGAACTAGAACTGAACTAGAACTGAACTAGAACTGAACTAGAACTGAACTAGAACTGAACTAAACTGACTAGAACTAGAACTAGAAACTGAAGTAGAACTGAACTAGAACTGAACTAGAACTGAACTAGAACTGAACTAGAACTGAACTAGAACTGAACTAGAACTGAACTAGAACTGAACTAGAACTGAACTAGAACTGAACTAGAACTGAACTAGAACTGAACTAGAACTGAACTAGAACTGAACTAGAACTGAACTAGAACTGAACTAGAACTGAACTAGAACTGAACTAGAACTGAACTAGAACTGAACTAGAACTGAACTAGAACTGAACTAGAACGAACTAGAACTGAACTAGAACTGAACTAGAACTGAACTAGAACTGAACTAGAACTGAACTAGAACTGAACTAGAACTGAACTAGAACTGAACTAGAACTGAACTAGAACTGAACTAGAACTGAACTAGAACTGAACTAGAACTGAACTAGAACTGAACTAAACTGAACTAGAACTGAACTAGAACTGAACTAGAAACTGAACTAGAACTGAACTAGAACTGAACTAGAACTGAACTAGAACTGAACTAGAACTGAACTAGAACTGAACTAGAACTGACTAGAACTGAACTAGAACTGAACTGAACTGAGAACTGAACTAGAACTGAACTAGAACTGAACTAGAACTGACTAGAACTGAACTAGAACTGAACTAGAACTGAACTAGAACTGAACTAGAACTGAACTGAACTGAACTAGAACTGAACTAGAACTGAACTAGAACTGAAACTAGGAACTGAACTAGAACTGAACTAGAACTGAACAAGAACTGAACTAGAACTGACTAGAACTGAACTAGAACTGAACCTAGAACTGAACTAGAACGACTTAACTGAACTAAGAACTGAACTAGAACTGAACTAGAAACTGAACTAGAACTGAACTAGAACTGAACTAGAACTGAACTAGAACTGAACTAGAACTGAACTAGAACTGAACTAGAACTGAACTAGAACTGAACTAGAACTAACTAGAACTGAACTAGAACTGACTAGAACTGAACTAGAACTGAACTAGAACTGAACTAGAACTGAACTAGAACTGAACTATAACTGAACTAGAACTGAACTAGAACTGAACTAGAACTAGAACTAGAACTGAACTAGAACTGAACGAACTGAACTAGAACTGAACTAGAACTGAACTAGAACTGAACTAGAACTGAACTAGAACTGAACTAGAACTGAACTAGAACTGAACTAGATCTGAACTAGAACTGAACTAGAACTGAACTAGAACTGAACTAGAACTGAACTAGAACTGAACTAGAACTGAACTAGAACTGAACTAGAACTGAACTAGAACTGAACTAGAACTGAACTAGAACTGAACTAGAACTGAACTAGAACTGAACTAGAACTGAAGTAGAACTGAACTAGAACTGAACTAGAACAGAACTAGAACAGAACTAGAACTGAATTAGAACTGAACTAGAACTGAACTAGAACTGAACTAGAACTGAACTAGAACTGAACTAGAACTGAACTAGAACTGAACTAGAACTGAACTAGAACTGAACTAGAACTGAACTAGAACTGAACTAGAACTGAACTAGAACTGAACTAGAACTGAACTAGAACTGAACTAGAACTGAACTAGAACTGAACTAGAACTGAACTAGAACTGAACTAGAACTGAACTAGAACTGAACTAGAACTGAACTAAACTGAACTAGAACTGAACTAGAACTGAACTAGAACTGAACTAGAACTAAACTGAACTAGAACTGAACTAGAACTGAACTAGAACTGAACTAGAACTGAACTAGAACTGAACTAGAACTGAACTAGAACTGAACTAGAACTGAACTAGAACTGAACTAGAACTGAACTAGAACTGAACTAGAACTGAACTAGAACTAGAACTCAACTAGAACTGAACAACTAGAACTGAACAACTAGAAATGGACAACTTGAACTGAACAACTAGAACTGAACAACTAGAACTGAACAACTAGAACTGAACAACTAGAACTAAACAACTAGAACTGAACAACTAGAACTGAACAACTAGAACTGAAAAACTAGAAATGGACAACTAGAACTGAACAACTAGAACTGAACAACTAGAACTGAACAACTAGAACTGAACAACTAGAACTGGACAACTAGAACTGAACAATTAGAACTGAACAACTAGAACTCAACAACTAGAACTGAACAACTAGAACTGAACACTAGAACTGAACAACTAGAACTGAACAACTAGAACTGAACAAACTAGAAATGGACAACAAGAACTGAACAACTAGAACTGAACAACTAGAACTGAACAACTAGAACTGAACAACTAGAACTGAACAACTAGATCTGAACAACTAGAACTGAACAACTAGAACTGAACAACTATAACTGAACAACTAGAACTGAACAACTAGAACTGAGCAACTAGAACTGAACAACTCGAACTAGACACAATTAGAACCGGAACTGAACTAAAACTGGAACAGAGTCATACCGAACTGCAGGAATCTGCGTAAATTTTTATGTGTATAAGTATATGTATATGAAAGTGTGTGCGTGTGTGTATTTATTTGTTTGTGCAATTGTAATAATGCAAAACATATAAATTAATTAATATCTCTTTTTGCATATATTCACACTTCATTAGACTTAATCATTATTGAACTCTCGATTTTTGTGAATGACTGTAAGGGGTGAGGTATCAGTATTGTAGAATTTATAGGATTACGAACATTTATAAATATGGATTTATAACAGTTAGGTTTAAAAAGTCGATAGACAAAGAAAATTTAATTTATTATCTATATACTAGGGGTGATCGATTATTAGACATTTTATTTTATTTATTACGCACATTCTAATACCCAAATACCTACAATAAACCATCAACAACTTTAGTAAGTATTTATGAATATGAGGGTAAATTGTTATCTATTTATCAAAGTATAATTAAGTATACGAATTTTATTAAACTGACTGTAAATGCCTATAGGCAAGTAAATGTATGTTAATGCATGCATATGCCTGCAATTATTTATTCTAATTTTCATTTATAATCTATATTATCTAAGGCAATCTAAAACATACACACTTCTTTATAATCCTGAAACAATACTCACCAAAACACCCTACTAACAGCAATAAAACTGTTTAAAAAATATAATTTTTTATATATTAAAAAAAAA